CCCTTACTGACCAAGCGCTCAGCCGAACGTTCAGGGCCTGGTCAACCGAAATAGCACAACGAGCAATCGAACACTCACAACGAGCAACCCCGCCCGACCACCCAGTAACCCCGCCCGACCAGTCAGTAACCGCGACACTGCTGCAGGCTCAACGGAGATGAGGACATGCCCGGAGTGGTAGCCGAGACAGAGTCCAAAAGCGGCAGCGTAGGTGGACACACTGTTTATTGCACGCACTGTTATGGCCCACCACAAACAACTTAACACCGGACCATGCAAACATCAGAGCACGCAAACATCAGAGCACGCAAACACCGGAGCACGGAGTACGGTCGGTACTGAACAGATCGCCTCATGCCGCCCACCCGGAATCACTTTTAGTTGTTGACCTTGGACGAGGTACAAGATGGAACATTTTCTCCTGTGGATGTTGACGATTTTGCGAAGTACCATTACTCTGAAGAAGTGGATAAAAGTATTACTTCGTACCACGTAAGCCCCTTACCCATTCTTGTTCCCACCATTCCCATCGAGGTCATTTCCATCGAGGTCATTCCCATCGAGGTCATTCCCATCGAGGTCATTCCCATCGAGGTCATTCCCATCGAGGTCATTCCCATCGAGTCATTCCCGATAATTTGATACTTGTAGTTGACCGGTGCATATGAGGGGGGAAGGATTGAGATTGACGAGGAGATCTTTGACGATGCAAATCACCCCCTCGGGTGGAAGGAATACCTGGCCAAGACAGCCCGAGACCTTATCGTTGGCGTTTGCGCTTCGCGGCCGCCATGCCTCAAGCCATAGATTTTTTGCACGTGAGAATGAACCGGCTGGAATGGAACAATTTTTAGCTATTTCCATGGGGGCGGTCAGGAACAAAATTGGTTGCGGTTTCTTAAAAGGTTTCCTGGCGTATAACTTTCGGGATGTCTACTCCCGGGGTAATAAATAATTAGTGGCCAATGGCGAAGAGAGGTTCGCCCCAATATAAGTGTGTGCAGAAACGTGTGAAGACGGCGAGGCTGCCATCTCGGGCAAGTATTAATGACCAAGAGGCCGTGTCTGACATTGGCTCTGTATTGTCCGATGAGGAGCAGGTTGTCGCATCTACAACCTCTGACTCGGAGGCATCCGAACATGAGTCTGAATCAGGGTCTTGCCAGGAGTGTCAAGACGACTCGAGGTCTGAGGACGACTCAAGATCTGAAGACGACTCAATATCTGAAGACGACTCTAAGATGGGGTCTGTAGCCGGGTCTGAGGACGACGATGGGGCAAGTTCGGGTGATTCATCGGATGCCGGAGAATTCGAATCGGATTCTGACAACGAGGAACGTGACGAAGAACAAAAAATAAGTTGGTCTCAGGCTATGATTGATGAGCTGTTGTCATCAGCTCATGCCGAGAGTGTGGAAGAAATTGTGAAGTTGTTAATTACCGTTGTCCGCGAGGGAATTTTGGAGGGCGGGGTTGAGGGATCTTCGGGTCGTAAGAGCGGAGCTGTGGCTCAGTCACAAAAGATCTTGCAGATAATTGCTCAACTGAAGAACACCGCTCCATACAAACTGGCCTCTGATGTCGGAGCTCTGGACGAGGTGGCCTTCGGATGCCTCAACACCCTACGCCTGCTTTTTACTGGGAGCATTGCGGACAACCACCAAGAGGAAGACGACTTGAACAATTCCGACTCGGATAGAAATTCCGACGAGGGTAATTCCGACGCGGATAGAAATTCCGACGAGAGTAATCCCGATGATGGGAGTTCCGACGGGGACTTGAAAACACCGCCCGTCGCAGTTGGTTCTGATGGAGAGTTCTACACGGCTCAAGAACAGGAATCGGGCACGAGCAGTGACGAAGCTAATCTCGAGGGATTGTCGGCAGATTCAGATGAAGACTCAATCCAACGGTCCATTGTGGCAGATTCTATTGAGTCCCCGGATAGTACATTGTTGGAAATGCCTGAGTCACCAAAAATACCAGACGCATTGTGTCGGAGCTTGTGGCGCAGCATTGACATGTTGTTCAGGACCAACCGTACGAGTAGTAGTTTGGTCAAGGCGCTGGTAATTGGTCTGGATGTGAATGTGATGCAAACCATCTGGTGTTTGAAACCGAAGGCATTGAAGGGTCTTTGGTCGCGAATGTTGGATGCTGTTATAGTGCAGATGACCAAGGACATGTGTCCTCCATGTTTCCTGGCCTTGTACAAAACATATCATGACCCAACTATGAAAGCTCGGTCCAGTCAGTTAACGGAGCTACTAAAATTGCCCTTCGTCAAGTTGCGATCGCACTTTGCCATAAAAAAAGCCAGAGCACCGTTGGTTGAGAAGGCGAAGTATTTCGCGCTTCTGTTTAGTATTGCGCTACATGGATTACAGACGCATGGATACGAAAAACAGGTTTATAACACGTGTGTGCTGACCTTCCGGGAACTCATTATTGCCACTGGTCAATTTACGACGTCGCTTTCCAGGCTCACAGACGGTAACAAGCGACAAAAGAGGCTTGCGACTGTTGAAAAGCTGCGCAGCGTTGTCATTTCGTGGTCAACTATTCTACAATGCCACATATACATTTCTCTAATGCTCCTGGAAGGGGATAGCTCTTCAGAGAACAGCTCTCTGGAGGTGTCAATGGTGAACATGGCAGAAGGTCTTCTAGCTTTCTTCATGGGTCTGCTAAGGGATACAGCCACGCAGATAACCTTACTACCGTTTAGAGCGAAGCTGCTTGGATTGTGTCTGTCTCTAATCAAAGCCACCAAATTATACGCCCCTCTGGGCTATGCAATTTGCGATTTTGGCTCCGTCGTAACCGGCTTGCTCGAAAGAAAGGGTTTGAAAAAAGTAGCCGAACGGCAAACAAAATTGATCAAGGCGATGAATATAGAAGTGGCGCTGTCTTTGAGCAAGGAACAGCTAGTAGATCCAGGAGTGCACGGTAAGCTGACCAAAGCATTCGAGGATTTGTTCGTCGACTTTCTATGTGCCATTGCCCATCACCCAGCATTCCCTGAACTTTCGGGTGTGCTCCTGGCAGCGGCACTCAAGTTTGACGGGCTGAAGGAGATTGTTAAACCTATCATACCATCCATTAAAGCCACACAACGACAAATCGAGAAGATCAGGTCAAAAATCAATAATCTTGCCATGCTTCCCGAAACACTGTACATCATAGATGACAGCAACCAATATGGGAAACTGAACCTTGTCCAATATGCGAAGACAAGAACCATAAATGATATGATCTCAATTGCTTTTTGAAATGTAATTTGTTTGCAACGCTATGTTTGTAGCGCACCGTGTGCACACGTTTTTTTAGTCTGTAGAAACAACCCAACACGCCACAACTGTGATGTCGTCTTGCTTTCCGCCGACGGCGGAGGCGCCCGCAGCTCTGGCGGCCTTAGCAAAAGGGGACTTGGCGCGGCTGTCGATGGAGCGGTAAAACGCTGCCTCGGCGATGCCGCGCGCAACATGTCCTGGCGGAGTAGCAATGGTCTTGTCTTGGTTGACACAAGGAGGGTCCAGCGCGGAAGGGGGAGCCCGCCTGCCGGTGACCCAGTCCTCGGTCCATTTCCGCGCATTATACAACATGGATTCTGTAGAGCCTGGGTGTTGTGGCGGCTCACTGGGCCTATCCCTATTTGGACCAGTGAACAGGCGTGCTTCATAGGGACTTAGTGCCAGAGAAGCGAGGGCAATGATTTCCTGATCGAATAGGTTGTCGAACAGGCCGTCTGTTCCGATGAGAATGAGGTCACCCTCCTTTACAGGTATATCAATAAGATCCGCTTGGTCCGGAGAGTCGCTGGACATCTCCGGGCGGATATTGGCAAGGACCCGAATAAGCTTGAACATGCCCCTGTTCTCCAGCTGAGGAATATCTTCCGGTTGGGGCAGTCTTGACAACTGATAAGGACAGTTGAAGAAATGCTGCTGTTCACGGGTTCGTCGGGTAATGGTCATATGTCTGAATATAGGCCGGGTACGACGCAATACAATGCAGCTGCTATCCCCCAGACAGGCGATTCCGAGTTTCTCGCCCATCGCATCCAGGCCGACCACGAGCGAGGTCGAACTTCCAAAGCACCCTTTCTCCTGCAAGGCCCTTTCGAACCCTGAACGGAGGACCGACAGGGCTCTCTCGCTCGCTCGACGGCCATCCATCCCGCCCCCGCAATTTGGACGGGCATGGAACTCTTGACGTAGCGCCATCTCTTGCGAACCTTCCATCAGAGCCAAAGCGAACTGTCTCGGACAACATCCGTAATCTCCCCATTCTCCCACCCCATCCGCTACCCCAGCAAAATGCTCCAACGCGAAATAAGCGTCTTCTCCCCCATTAGGCTTACCCGGCTTGCTTATTGTCCACGCTCCCGACTGCAACTTCAACTTGCTGGTCTTCGGCATGAATACAGACGAACTAAACACTCCTAGACACACGGTTGCTTAAGTGTCGGACAGTCCAAAGGGAAGGGTCCAAAGGGAAGGGTCCAAAGGGAAGGGTCCAAAGGGAAGGGTTCAAAGGTACAGGTCCTACTTGTCAAATTTAACATCAAACCTGAGAAGTATTGGAACATTTTGTGTCTTGCCGAAATGGACTGGTCGTTAGTAAGCCAGCCGCATATTCTGTCCGGCCATTTCTCACTTCCGTCGGTCATAGCGCTGTTGCTGCTTCCTCGAGAAACGGGGCGGCATTCTGAAGAAGACGAAGCAGCGCGGGTCGTGGTGGCTGACCCCTGACAGAAACATGAGTTCCGTCGTGTGCAGTTCTCGCGACTATGCCGGACCCTCACCAAGAACTCACATTGTTCACTACAACACAGGCCAAATGCTGCAACTCCACCTATAATACCCATGCCGATCTGAACTAGGACCCACCCATACCCACGCCCACCCACACTCATGGGATCTTCCCACTCGTGTCCACCTTCGTGTCCACTTTCGTGTCCAACCTTCCCAATCGTGTTATGTCCAACCTTCCCAATCGTGTCATGTCCAACCTTCCCAATCGTGTCATACTCAAATACACTTCCCACACTTCTGGACCTCCCCACACTTCGAGACCTTCTCGTTCTAGGTGTCATTCCGTAACCGTCCGATTCTGTGGACTGCAGTCCCTCCGGAAAAGCGATATCCCGAAAGGCAAGCCGGCGATCAGTCAAAGGCGCCGACCCAGCCGCCGCTTCAGATGAACAGCGCTGCCTCGCACGATTCGGTTGATTCCGAATCATCCTCATTCCAAACGTCTCTGACCAGTCCGAGGATATGGTTCTCTCCTTCGACCGGCCCTCTTTCCTATATCCGTCCTTCTCCTTCTCCCCTTTCCGGGCAGCCGCGGTACAGGTAATTTCCCCCAACTTGTTAAGCAGCCTACTCGAAACATAGTAATGATCAAATCATGCACGACTCGAACCATGCATGACTCGAACCATGCATGACTTCACTAAATACCGGCGCTTACCCAAGAGCAGCCTTGGTTTGCATCACCGTCAGGTGGTTCTGGCACTTCACCGCAGAATCATGAACGTCCGTCAACAACAATCGGTCATGCCTGATGGATCGACTGGTGGACCAATAAGCATCTGGAAGTGTTACCGGGACTGTCCTAATGGTGTGTTAAGAAGAAGTGTCAACGAGCAGCAGAAGGCAGACCGCTGAACTCTCCTGGTAGGGAGGGCTTTACCGTTCGAACATACGAAAATTGGAAAAACTATGAAGCCCAAATCCAGTCTATGATAGTAAGGACTGTGCGTCAAGACCTTGTACAGAACCCTTCCCGTGAGTCCCACAGTTTTGAGTGAGTGGCTAATTGAACTGTCGTCTATTACCGCCGTCTGCTAGCGTCTGCAGATGGCTATCTGTCCGCACTCGGGAACTTTCTGTCTGCACTCAAGTCTGCGGCTGAACTTATTCCACTTCAAGTATGCTCAGCTGTAGAGGTCCTCGTCATCGTCGTCGAGAGCTGCGTGGGTACCCGAGGCGCCGGTAGTGAAGCCCTGTTGAGCGTCGGGCCACTCGAAATTGATGGTGCTGGCTTGGCCGTTGGCAGAGCTCATGTAGACCGGGTCGAACTTCATGCGGAATTGATCGTACTTAGACAAGTCTGTGATAGATACGGAGCGGCGAGCGTTGGCGAAGGCGGCTTCGAAGTGTGCGCGGGTCACATACTGTATTTCATCTTCTTCCTTCATACTGCTATCACCACCCGGCGCAACAGCCTGGCGAATTTCTTCAGCATTAATCGCGTCCCGGACCGCGCCTTTAGCCGCGTTCTGGATGAGTTCGGCTAAATCAGCACCGGAGAAACCTTCAGTCTTCTGAGCAACAAAGTGGAGACTGACATCGGGAGCGACAGGGGTCTTGCGTGTTAAAGCCTGTAGGATGGATAGCCGGGCCGGGAAGTCGGGTAGTGGGATGTAGATGAGTTGGTCAAGTCGTCCAGGACGCAACAGCGCCTCATCCAGAAGTTCTGGCCGGTTGGTGGCGCCAATGAAGAAGATGTTTTTTTTCACACCAACGCCGTCAATTTCAGTCAATAGCTGGTTCATTACACGGTCACCTGTGCCCGACTCGCCCACACTGGAGCCACGCTGAGTGCCAATGCTATCCAGCTCGTCGAAGAAGAGTACGCACGGCGCAGCCGTGCGGGCCTTGTCGAACACTTCGCGCACGTTGGCCTCCGACTCTCCGAACCACATTGTCAACAGCTCCGGGCCCTTGATCGAAATAAAGTTGGCTGAACATTCAGAAGCCACGGCTTTCGCCAACAACGTCTTACCGCAACCGGGCGGACCATAAAAGAGAACACCCCGCGATGGCGACATCCCAAACTTCTCATATTTCTCGGGATGGTCGATCGGATATAGAATCATCTCCTGCAAGTTGCGTTTCACATCCTCAAGGCCGCCGATGTCATCCCATTTGATGTTCGGTACCTCCACCACCGTCTCACGCAAACTGCTCGGGTTGCAGGTGCCCAGGGCCTGTGTGAAGTGGTCCTGTGTCACGAACATTGAGTCGAGCACTTCAGCGTCAATCGTCTCATCCTCGAAGTCAATTACGTCCATTTTTTCGCGGATACAAGAGAGTGCGGCTTCCGTGCACAACTGGGCCAAATCCGCTCCGACGAACCCGTGTGTCTGGGCCGCCAGTTCTTCCAGCCGCACGTCCGGTGCCAGCTTCATGTTGCGTGTATGTATACGTAGAATCTCGATGCGTCCGGCTTCGTCTGGTACACCGATATCGATTTCTCGATCGAAGCGTCCAAAACGACGAAGTGCAGGGTCGATGGAATTTTGTCGGTTGGTTGCCGCAATAACTACCACCTGTCCGCGTCCCTTGAGGCCGTCCATCAAGGTTAGTAGCTGAGATACCACGCGTCGTTCGACTTCACCGTTTGTCTTCTCGCGTTTCGGCGCAATCGAATCGATCTCGTCGATAAAAATTATTGCCGGCGCGTTCTTTTCAGCCTCCTCGAATGCCCGTCGTAGGTTACTTTCAGCCTCGCCGGCCATCTTACTCATCACCTCCGGACCATTTATTAGGAAGAAGAATGCACCAGTCTCGTTCGCCACAGCTCGAGCGATCAAAGTCTTACCGGAACCCGGAGGCCCGTACAACAGTACACCACGCGGCGGTTTAACACCTAACGTCTTGAACAAACTTGGATGACGCAAAGGCAACTCAATCATCTCACGGATCTGACCCATCTGCTTACGGCAACCACCAATGTCATCATAACCTACATCATCCAAACGCTCTTCATCTTCACGTTTAATCGGCTCACCCTCACAATGGATCACTGTATCCGGAGCCACTAAACAAAACGGAGACGGGTCTACACCAACCACTTTAAACTCCACAGGACGGAACCCTTTCCTCACAATAAATAAGTCACCCTCTGAAACAGGCCGGTAACTCTCTTGGAAATGAGGCTTCAAATATGTCTCAAACAAATTGCCAGTCACACCCTCCACAGTGTCGTCAATAGGCAATACATGGATTCTCTTGCCGTACGGAGCATCCTCACAAGCCTGCACAGTCACAGCATCACCTAACCTCACTCTCAAATTCTTGCGAGCAACCTAAACACAAAAAAAAGTGTGTGCTTATGCGGTTACCCCAACACGATAGGAGGCACAGTAAACATCCAGAGTGAGAGCACTTCCCAGTGGAGGGCCCCCCACGCACCTTGTTCATGAGAATCTTTCCCGGGTCAACCGACGGGTGGCCGATGGCTATGCAAACAGTTTGTTTGCGCTTCTTGCCCTTGATGCTAACAACGTCATTTCGAAATATTTTCAGTTCCTCCATTCTCTGAGGGTTCAGGTTGACCACACTGATGTCCTCATTGATCGCCTCCTCGACAACCAAACGGTGTAAAGCCCTCTTCTTTTCGACCATGGGATTATTCCAAAAATATAAGGAGGACCTTTTTTTTAATCCGGCTGTCCTCTCCTCTCGCCCACCGCTTCCTGTTGGTTCCCCCCCCTCTAATGACCCCATAACCCGCCTATTGGACCCCCCCCCTATTGGACCCCCCC